CAGTGATGTGAATGACAGCCTCGGCTGCCTCCTCATTGGCTGAGACAACAAGAGGGAGTCATTGGCTCTTGCTGCTGTCAATCACAGCCAGTCAGCCAATGAGGAGTGAATGCACACACAGAGTAGCGGGTGCCCCCATAGCAAGCTGCTTGCTGTGGGGGCACTTGACAGACAGGAGGAGCCAGGAGAGCATGCAGGGGACCTGAGAAGAGGAGGATCCAGGCTGCTCTGTGCAAATCACTGCACACAGTAGGTAAGTATAGACATGCTCAGGAGCGGACTGGCAACTCATGGGGCCCCCGGGCAATAGGGGATCATGGGGCCCCTGTGTCCTTGCCCAAACTCAAAAAAAGCCTATGAAAAAGGTACCAGGGGCATCTCATGGGGCCCCCTACTGTCCCCGGGCCCTCGGGCAGTGTCCGAGTTTCCAAATGGTCAGTCTGCCCCTGGACATGCTTGTTATTTAAAAAAAAATGAACCTTTAGAATCCCTTTTAAATTTCAGCAGGTGTCCAATAAAAAGTAATTTTACTAAAAGCATTATTAATTACAAAATACCATTTCCAGAAAATGCATATCATACAGCACACGGACTAAATGTAGATGTTTACTCTGTGATTTGTTTTTATTTAATTGCAGTTCCTGACAACATTTATTTCCTTCAGTGATAAAATTTGAGATTTTGTTGCTGTAATATTAGCTGTAACCAGCATATTTTGCCCAAACCCTTAATGGTTTCTGTTCACTCTACAGCACATCTTTGGAAGTAGAAATGTGTAAAGTCAAAATGGAAAAACTGTTCCTAATGGAATAGGTTTTTTGGTGAGATACATTTTCTGAATTAATTGCTTAGTAAAAATTCTCTTTGAAAAGCTGTAGATATTACAGTTTTGCTGAGGCAGGTACACCTGTGGATCGTTAGCTCATATCATATACCTCTTCCAAACATTCAAAGAAAGGTAACATCAGTTATGTGAAGATGTCAAAATGAAAATTCATCAAAGTCACATCTACTATTTTGTACTGGTAAACTATTTTTAAATTTAAACTCCTTGAATTTTTCTTTGAGAAAGCGTTTTCAAAGAGAATCAGAGACAGCAGCTAAAGTATATATATATATGTTTAATACCAAATAAATCATTGTTTAAAGGAACACACAATGAGAACAAAATGTTTTAGATCATATGTTGCTTTCCTTTCATACAGTATATGTGTTGAATATGCATAGTATTTGCAATAGACAGCTGATATACTGGAGGTAAAAATCAGCAATGTGTTGGCAATCTACACCAAAATAATCTGAACCATTTTGCCTGTATGTATGCACAGGGGATGACAGACTCCCTCACAATGTGTTGAATGTATTGCAGCCCTCAGTCAGATCCCTCTGTCCTTTGCAGCATCCAATCATCAAGGGTGACCTAGCTTGTCACTCATCATATAAAAACTTAGGAAATTATTAAAGAAACAGCAGAAAAATGACTGACAGAATTGCACAGAATTTTTTTTAATTTATTCCTGTCATTGGTGTAGTAACACCAGCAGTAGACTACTTTTTGTTTTCTGACAGATGTACTTTTTATGTTTTTGCTGGACAATTTTGTGGCATACACATATGGAGAATGATAGGTTAAGGAGGAAGATGATTAACAACTTTCCCATTGGAAGATTTACTCCCCTTCATGACCAGGCCATTTTTTGCTGCACTGCACTGCTTTGCTTTAACTGACAATTACTCAGATGAAATTTATATAATATTTTCCACACAAATAGAACATTCTCTTGGTGGCACTTGATCACCACTGGGCGGTGGTTATTATAGAAACAAAAAAAGACCAAAAACTTGGAAAAAAAACCACAAACTTTTTACTTTTTGCTATAAAAACATATCCAATAAAATAAAAAAAAAAAATTCTTCATAAATTTAGGCCAAAATGTATTCTGATACATGCCTTTGGTAAAAAAAAAAAAAACCCAATAAGTTTATATTGTTTGGTTTGCATGAAAGTTATATCATCTACAAATGATGTCAAACTATTGGCACCCCTGCATTTCTGTCAGACTTGCACTACTTCGCCCAGAAAATTGTTGCAATTATAAATGTTTAGGCATTCTGATGTTTTTTTCTTTTGTTTGTGTTGGTATGACACAAAAAGGAGAAACAAAACGTCAAATCTGACACATTCCACTCAAATCCCCAAAAATGCAGTAAACAAAATGATTGGCACCCTCAATTTAATATTTGGTAGCACACCACCTTCACAAAAAAATAACTGAAATCAATTCCTGCTTGTAACACCTCTCTACTGGAATTTTGGACAACTCTTCTTTTGCAAACTGCTCAAGGTGTCTCAATTTTGAAGGGTTTTCTTTTCCCTTCAAACTGCTGTTTTGAGATCTCTCCACAGGTGCTTTATGGGATCGAGATCTGGACTCATTGGTGGCCAGTTCAGTATTCCCCAGTACTTGTCTTAAACCATTTCTGTTTGCTTTTTGACATGTGCTTTGGGTCATTGTCCTGCTGCGATACCCATAACATCTATAGAGACCCATCTTTCTGACACTGGGCCCTACATTTCATCCCATAATTCTTTGGTAGTCTTCAGATTTCCTAATGCCATGCACACGGTCAAGACATCCAGTGCCTGAAGTAGCAAAGCAACCCCAAAACATCAGTAAACCTCCACCTTGTTTGACTTTAGGAACTGTATTCTTTTCTTTAAGGGCCTCATTTCTTTTTCTGGAAATAGTAAAATGATGAGCTTTAACAAAAAGCTGTGATTTTGTTTTGTCTGTCCACAGCACATTCTTCCAAAAGCAATTTGGCTTCCTCAGATAAGTTTTGGCAAACTCCAATCTGGCTTTTTTTATATTTCTGTGTCAGCAATGGGGTCCTCCTGGGTCTCCTACCTAAGCATCCCTTTTCATTCAGATGGCGACATATAGTGTGAGCTGACACAGTTATACCCTGTGCCTGAAGGTCAGCTTGAATTTGTCTGGAAGTTGATCAAGGTTTTGTAGCTACCATTCAAACAATCCTTCATTGCAATCTTTGTTTAGTTTGTCTCTTTCTTCCTTGTCCAGGGAGGTTCGCTACAGTGCCATGGGCTGAAAACGTCTTGACAATGTTGCGCACAGTGACACAGGAACATTTGGATCTCTGGAGCTGGACTTTTAACCTTGAGATTGTCCATGCTTTTCCAGAATTTTTGTTCTCAAATGCTCAGACAAGTATTTGCTGCTTCTCCTCTCCATGTAGCACACAAACACACAACAGAAAGTTTGAGTAAATTTTTCACCATTTTAACTGGTTGCCGGAGTGATTTCTATATTGTCAGCACCTGTTAATTGATACAGGTGAGTTGAATTACAAATTACAGGAGCATCACAAACTTGGAAAGCAATTGTTTATTACAATTTTGAGAAGGTAGAAATAATTTTTTTCAGTCCATTTTTTGAGTTTTGGGTTTAATGCGTCAGGTTTGGCTTTTTGCTTCTCCATGTTTTTGTATCATGCGAATACAAACAAAATAAATAAATATGAGAATGCCTAAACATTTGTAATTGCAACAATTTTCTGGGCAAAGTGGTGCATTATCTTACAGAAATGCAGGGTTGCCCATATTTTTGGCCATGATTGTGTACTGGAATTTGTATATATATATATTTACTAGTAATGGCAGCAATCATTGACTTATAGCAGGACTGTGATAGTACAGCAGGTACTGACACTGAACGGGAATGGACTAACTGGCACTGACATCACCAGTGACATTATTACAGTGATCGGTACTAATATTATGCATTGACACTCTATTAATGACACTGGGTAGGAAGGGGTTAACATCTGGTTCAATAAAAGGGTTAACTGTGTGCCTAGGAAGTGTTTATGTGTGTGCTGTGTGTTGATTTTACTAAGGGATCTTGTTGTCTTTCAAGAAAAAAAAACAAGATCGCCTGTGTGCTATACAGAGCTCTTTCTGTGAATCACTGAATTGGCAAGCAGTTAAATCTGAACTCTGAGGAACTGAAAAACTACCCTGGGTCTACACCCACACTATAAGGGGTTAAATGAGTGTTATTATTGATGGGAAGCTGCAAAAAGATTTACTTCTCTTCACAGTAAGAGCTGTGAGAATGTGGAATAGACTTCCTCAAGAGTTGGTTCTGGCCAGCTCAGTGGTTTGCTTTAAAAAAGGCCTGGATTGTTTCTTGGATACACAGAATATAACTGGTTACTAACATTTATAGGGAAAGTTAATCCAGGGAATATCTGATTGCCTCTCGGGGGAGCAGGAAGGATTTTTTTCCCCTGCAGGAGCAAATTGGATCGTGCTTTGCTGGGTTTTTTGCCTTCCTCTGGATGAACTGTGGGTGTAAGATTATAACTTTTTTTTTATGGTTAAACTGGATGGACTTTTGTTTTTTTTCAGCCAAACTATGTTACTATTATCTTATCATATCTATTTACTTATATTTTCCCTCGCTGTCCTGGCACCTGATGCTCGCTCCCAGCATCCTCCTGTACAATGCAGAATTGTTGCAAACAGATATTTTATATATTTTATACTTGTATCTTTTAGTTATACAGTATTATACCTTCATTTACAACTGTACCAAAAATGTCTTGTTTAACAACTTGAAGACCAGGCCTATTCTGACACTGTTTGCTTACAAGTAAAACTCAACATTTTTTGTTAGAAAATTAATTAGAACTCCCAAACATTATATTTTTTTAGCAGAGGCCCCAGAGAACAAATTGTGGTCATTGCAATTTTATTATGTCACACAGTATTTGGGCAGTGGTTTTTTAACTGCCTCCTGCCCGCCATATAGTAATATGATGGACGCAAGGTGGTTCTCTCGTTCTGGGAGGACGTCATATGACAGCCTCCCATTCTAACCGGAGGACGCAGCGCGGTGATCGGCGGTGTGCTGTGTCCCTTGGACACAGCGGATCACCGATCCACGGAAAGAGCCAAAGATGTCGGCTCGGTCATGTGATCAGCTGTGTCCAATCACAGCTGATCACATGTAAACAGGGAAATGCCGGTTATCTGCATTTCTCTCCTCACGAGCTGTCACGCTGACAGCTTGTGAGAAGAGAGCCGGTAATCAGCATTCGTTGGAGGGGACATGTACACAGGTCATCAGAGCACTGATGATCAGTGTGCCCTGATGATCTGTGTAGCCCCAGCAGCACCACCTGTCAGTGCCCATCAATGCCAGCTCTCAGTGCTCATCCATGCCACCTGCCAGTGCCCATCAGTGCCACATCAGTGCCACATTTCAGTGCCCATCAGTGCCCATCTGAGCTGCCTTTCAGTGTCACCCATCAGTGCCAGTTAGTGCCACCTATCAATGCCAGTCAGTGCCACCTATCAGTGCTGCCAATCAGTGCCACCTATGAGTGCCAGTCAGTGCAGCCTATCAGTGTGCATCAGTGCCGCCTATCAGTGCCCGTTAGTGCTGCCTATCAGTGCTGCCTAACAGTGCCAGTCAGTGCCGCCTATCAGTGCCAGTCAGTTCCGCCTATCAGTGCCACCTATCAGTGCTGCCTATCAGGGCCATATATGAGTGCTGCCTTTCAGTGCCCATCAGTGATGCCTGTCATTGCCCATCAGTGCCACCTACAAGTGCCTCCTCATCAGTGCCCATCGGTGCCACCTATCAGTGTCCATCAGTGCAGCCTATCAGTGCCCATCACTGCAGCCTCATTAGCACACATCAGTGAAGGAGAAAAATCACTTATTTATAAAATTTTATAACAAAAACTAGGAAAAAACTTTTTTTTTCAAAATTTCAGTGGTTTTTGGTTTGTTTAAGAAAAAATAAAAAACCAAGAGGTGATTAAATACCACCAAAATAAAGCTCTATCTGTCACAAAAGAATTAAAAACATTTCATATGGGTACAGTGTTGTATGACCGCGCAATTGTCATTCAAAAGTGTGACAGCGCTGAAAGCTGGAAATTGGCCTGGGCAGGAAGGGGGTATAAGTTCCCTGTAGGCTAGTGGTTAAACTAGATTTTTGTAGAAGAAACTCCCTTTAATGAAATTTATTGCAAATACACAATATATAACCCAATTTATTTGTAAAATATAAAATATGATGTTACACTGAGTAAATGGATATGCACACAATTTTCAAAGCGCGGCATTTGTCACGCTTTGAAAATTGTGTGCACTCCTGGAATGGTGACAAACTGCAATATTTAAAAACCTCCATAGGCTATGCTTTAAAAATTTTTCACAGGTTACCAGTTTAGAGACAAAAAGGAGGTCTATTACTAGAATTATTACTCCCGCAATAACATTCATGGTGATACCTCACATGTGTGTTGTGAACTTCATTTACATATGCGTGCACAACCTATGTATCCGCTTGTCTCTGTGCGCAAGCACGGAGGGACAGGGGGTGCTTTACAAAGAAGACCCTAGATCTCTCCTCTACCCTGGAAAGTATGAGATAAAAAAACATTGATCTCATGCTTTACAAAAAAAGCCAGTGCTTACATCTGCCAGAACCGAAAGTGACGTTATGATGTCACTTCCCGTCTCCTAGACCGGGGATCTTTTGGCCAGCTCTATGATGACTCAGCGGCACTATCGGAACAGATACCGTGCTCCCCGATCACATGGATGGGCAGGAGAAGGGTCAGTGGGGGCGCCATCTGTAAAAGCATGCCCGAATGAAAAAAAAAATACCGGGGTTATGCAAAACAGCTGCAGCCATAGTTCTAGTATAACAACTTGAAGCCAATCACTTACATGTACATTATCTGGTGTCAAGTGGATAACTGCCTTCCAACACTGATGTAAATTTGTTTCCTACTAAAGACTTGAGGTACATATTATTAATTTATGAATACAAGTCTCTGCAGAAAATATCTCTGTATTTTATATATATATAGAGGGGACAAAGTAAAAGTGTTGTTGATATTTCCATTGTGTTGTGGTACTGCCATTTTTTTGGCGAGTTGTTCTTGATTTATACATTATAAACGGTAGTTCTGTAGGTTCCTATACGTATATACTATACAGTATATATATATATATATATATATATATATATATATAGCAGGTGTGAAAACATTCTGTAAATTAAGAAAGTTTTCAGAAATAGAAGTGTAACTAGTTTTTTTTAATCATTTAATAAAATGAAAAGTAAACGGACAGCAGAGAAAATCCAAATCAGATCAATATTTCTGGGTCCACTTTCACACAGTTTTTTAAAGGAATTTAATAGGTAGGTTGCTCCAAACATCTTGGAGAGCAAACCACAGACCTTCTGGAGATGTAGGCTGCCTCAAATCTTTCTGTCTCTTCAGGTCAACCCAGACAGACACACTGATATTGAGATCAAGTCTCTGTAGGGACAAACCGTCACTTACAGGACTCCTAGTTCTTCTTTACACTAAAGATAGTTCTTAATGACATTGACTGTATGTTTGGGATCATTGTCTTGCTGCAGAATAAATTTGGGGCCAATCACATGCCTCCCTGGTGGTATGGCATGATGGATAGGTATCTGCCTTTATTTCTCAGCACTGAGGACATCATTGATCCTGACCGAAACTCCAACTCCATTTGCAGAAATGCAAGGAACCTCCAGAATGCTTCACTGTTGCCTGAAGACACTCATTATTGTACTGCTCTCCAGCCCTTTGGTGAACAAACTGCCTACAGCCAAATATTTAAGCTTTGACTCAGCAGTCCAGAGCACTTGTTGCCATTTTTCTACACACCAGTTCTGATGTTTTTATGCCTAGTTAAGTCGCTTAGCCTTGTTTCCACATCAGAGGTATGGATTTTTCTGTGCTAATAGCACTATTGGACATCTTCCGATGTTGAAAGGAAGTAAGCATGATGTGTCTTTCACCTGCTGTATTCGGTTTCCTTGGCTAACCACTGCATCTATGGTCCTCAATGTTGCCTGTTTCTTCTAAACAGCAAACCTACAAACCCCAGTCTGCTTTGAAATCTTTTCCTGGGAGAAGTGCTGGGACAATGTCATCCAGTGCCCAGGGAAAATATGTCAAACTGTGCCCCCCTCCCCATGATGTATGAGCATCATGTATCAGCAAAAATTCCCTTTTCCCCAAAAAAAACTGTGCTCTAATTTGCCATGCTTACCATAAACATAAATTCCCTTGGTAACCCAAAATTCTCCTCAAACAAAAAATTAATCTGCCTCCCTGTACAAATCCCCCCTGCTGAAATCCCCTACCAGCACAAATTATACCCCCGTCCCCCCTCTAAATTTAAGTTCTATCAATTTCCCCTTCTAACACCACAACCCCCAAAAAAAACATCCTCTTAGCAGCACACACCGTCAACCCTCCAATTTCCCCACCAAGCACAAATCCTTTTCCTCTCCAAATCCCACCTCCCAAATTTCCCTTCCTAGCACAAATACCCCCCTAATCACCCCTTCTACCACATAGCCCACCCCAAATCTCTCTTCCAAACATAAATCCCCCCCCAAAAAAAAATTTCCCCTTCTAGATCAAATCCTACCTTCCAAATCACCCTTTTAGCACAACCCCTAAATCCCCCCTCCTAGCACAAATCATCTTCCCCATCCCTTCAGCACAAACCCCCAAGTCACCCCTCTTAGCACATCCCCCCAAATTTCCCCTTCTAGAATAAATATTAACCTTGCCGCCCCCCCCCCCCCCCCCCAAATTTCTGCTCCCAGCACGAATCCCCAACAAACTTCTCCTCCTAGAACAAATCTAATCTTACACCCCCAAATTCCTCTTCCATGCACAAATCCTTACTCCCAAATGTCCGCTCCTAGCACAACTCCCCCCTCTCAAATTATCTAGCACCCCCTAATCTCCCCTCCTAGCACAAATAATCTTCCCCCATCCCCCATCCCAAATTATCCCTCCTAGCACATCCTTCACAAATTTCCCCTCTTAGAGCAAATCTTACCACATCACTCTCCAAATCCCCCCAGCACAAATCCCCCCAAATATCCCCCCAGCAAAATAGCTTAAATACCCCCACTTAGAAGTAATCATCTTCTTCCCCCTCCTAGCACAAATACTCTCATGCATACCATAAATATATATTATTCTACCCCTCTCATTCTGTCCCTGGGTCTTCCAGGGACTTTACAGAGTTTGGTTGCTCCCTACCCACATTCTTTGCTGGGAGGAGATGGGGGAGGGTAAACAAACTGTAAAATTCTGATTGGAGAGTCATGATGCAAGAGCGCTGTAGTGACAGGAGTGTAAAGCTGAATGGGAAGAGGGAACAGCACACCTACCGGCTTTCTTCTCCTCTCCTGACTTGATGCTGGGCAAACTACTCCTGTTAGCTTGTAGTGGCAGAAACTCTCCTCTTGTAGCCCCCCCATCTCACTTGTTACCAGTGCCTAGGATAGCCATCCCTTTTGCCCTCCCTTTGCCCTGGCCCTGCCTGGGAGGGACCTTGCTGAGGCAGTATAGCTTCCTTGTGTCTTGTTGCTGTGCTCAGTCTTGCCATGGTGTAATACCTGTGACATGAAACTGTATTCCACAACATCTCCGTAGTAGCAGAGTCTGACTGTTCCTCACCCAGAGTTAAGCCTCCTACACAGCTGTTTCTCTTTCAGTTAATTACTGAGTTTCATCCTACATATGAAATTGATGATTATTAGCACCAGCTTGGTGTAATTGGTTAATCATACACCTGGCTCTATTCCTACAAAATCCCAGGCTTGGTGCTGGTTTGAAGTCAAAGGGTAGTCACACCAAATATGGATATGATTTACATTTTTTTCTCTTTGCTCATTTTGCATTTTGTAAACTGCTAAAAAAAACAGTTAAAATATATATTTTGAAAGCATTTTTACTTTACAGCATTTCTTCACACCTGCCTACAACTTTCGCACAATACTGTACTTTTATATGTATACATATACAGTATACTATATATATATATATATATATATATATATAATAAAGCACAACACTGCTGCAGGAATCATCCATGGTCATAAACATTGCTTCTGATTCTCAATGGTGAACCCTAGAACTTTGGTAATGTAAGTCAGAGTTTTTATGATATGAAATAATAGAGGAGATGAATATAAAGGAAACACACACCCTGACCTTATGTGAACTCAAAATCACAGGTGTTCCCAAGGTTCACAAGTCTCAAAACTAAAGGTCCTTAGAGTGTTGATTTCCAAACATCTATAGACACTCAAGGCCTTGATTGGTACTCAAACAATACTTGTATAAAAAGAAATCCTCTTTAAAGCAAAACTGACTCAGACAATATAAGATTTTTTTGAAGTAAAGGAGAATCACAAATCTTATCCTGATCACTAGGCATTAGCAGAAACAAACACCAACCAGTTTTATACCTGAGAAAGACAAAGGCTACATCTTTAGCACAGCAAGAAAACAACACTGTTTGAAGGTTCAGTGGTTCTCATTGTTTCTCTGTCATAAAATGCCTAAAAATCGGATATGTACACCACTAATCATTAAAAGAGTGGTCTCTGTAAGTTTTCTGTAAATGAAACAGAAATT